GGGTGAGCGTAACATGACTTTGCAGGAACCTAAACCCTAAACCCTAAACCCTAAACCCTAAACCCGAACTCTAAACCCTAAACCCGAACTCTAAACCCTAAACCCTGAACCCTAAAGCCCCAAACCCCTGAACCCTAAAACCCTAAACCCCTGAACCCTGAACCCTGAACCCTAAACCCTAAACCCCGAACCCTAAACCCTAAACCCTGAACCCTGAACCCTAGACTCAGTTAAACCCCCAGACTCGGCAAGCCTTCTCAAGCCAGTCCAGAGCGGAGCTCTTCGGCGATTCGACTTCGCCCTCAGAAGCCTCGTCGTTTAGGTCTACGTATATAGGGGCTTATAGGGTTTAGGGGTATAGGGGCTTAGGGTTCAGGGGCTTTGGGTTTAGGGTTTAGGGGTTTCGGGGTTTAGGGGCTTTAAGGGCTTAGAGTTTAGTTAATTAGGGTAAGTTCTATACTCCCCTCGTCTTACGGAGTGCGAGAAATCAACTTTACTGTTGGTAGACCAGACCTGCAAACATCAAAACTTGAGCAACATTCAGAACAGGATGTGCGGGCAAGTCAGGAGCTGCAAAGTATCACCAAACCCTAAAAAGGCTTCGGATCTGCACACGTTTTAGAGCTTCCACGAGCTTGTGGACACTCGGAATCTAGCTGATGTTTCGGAAACCTGGAGAGAACCGGCATGCACAAAGCTGAGAAAAGCAGCCCTTTCAACGCCTAGCCGAACACCAAGTCCAAAAACCCAAGAGCCTGGGCTTAAGCCCTAGATCTCACATCCCGGGACCGAAGCAAAGCCAACTTCTCCCTCACCGGTCGACGACATGCATGCAGCGACCAGCTTCAGAAAAAAGAGGTCCCGGATATGCGGCGAAAGGGTGTGAGCGACCTGCCCTCATGACAAAGGTTTGCAGGTCCAGAACGGTCCAAATGCAGCTGAGCATCTACATGCGTCGGCGAAGTAAGCGATGCGCCAGCGGTCCTCGGAGGTTTGGGCTTGCTTCTCTGGGTTCTTGTAAGCAGGTTGGGGGTAACAGCGTCGGTTTCGGGCCGAGGAACCGTTTGGAAGGATGTGCTGCCTCGCTGCTTCGGCTTTGAAGGGTTTGGATTGAGGACGACGTACACGCGATAATCTCCCCCTTCAGTGTCCTAAGAGCTCAAAGCACGAGCTCTGAATTCTTACGCTGTGCAGACACCCTAAACCTAAACACGAACATCTCAGCCCTTCAGCGTAGGACCTCAGTCCAAAATGAATGTTATAAGAAGTCCACGCGCAGATGCCTTCAACGAGACGGACTGCTGCCTAATTTAATAGCTAGTGGAACTTCACCACCAGAGACGAAGATGATTCTGAAATCCGTAACCCGGGCACACCATGAGTCGCAAGTCAGGCTACAGCAAGCGACTGTATTGCACCAGGACTAGAGCTTCGACTGTTCTCGACATTAAGTGAGCTGAAAACTGCAGAAGCTCGGGATGCAGGGCATCATGAACTGAGGGATTATCTACAAAGAATTAGGGTTTAGGATTAGGGTTTAGGGTTTAGGGTTTAGGGGCTTTTGACGGAGGGTTTGAAATCCATCAGCTCATCAGCCCCTTCTTGAAAACCCTTCTTGTCATGCCGATCCGTGCAGATGAGCCGCTGAGATCTGCGCGAGGCCAGCGGCGGGGGGATCATTTCCCAACGCATAGATGTCCGCATGGAGGTGCGTGGTATTCCTGTGGGTGGGGGGATCTCCTCCCAACGCTGTGATGCGCGCATGACCGGAGCGACTTTTTCTTGGAGACGATCAAGCCTGGAGCTGACGTCCTGCGGATACATGGGAATTTCCTGATCTGTGAAGGGTCCTGCTGTTTCGTGCAGTTTGCGGTGGTCGATAGTACAGAGTTGAGATGCACAAGCCGACTAGGTATGAGACTTTTCTGGGCATCATGAATGTGACTGCAAAGTCGTACAAGTTCCAACCCTAAACCCTCAGTGAGGCACCTGTTATGAATATCGACAGCGTAACGACCAAACGAGCATTGCCGAGAGCAGTGCGACGGATGATGTGGCAAATCACAAGGACATTCGTGGGCAACAAAGGAACAAGTGGAAGACTGAGGAGTGCAGTCAAAAGTGGAAAGACATGAAAGAGCAGTTGCAATCACGATCGATAATTGTACGACGAGAAAATACATGCAACAGAATATGCACACAGAGACATAGAGCCGTCCTTAAGTATACAAATACCGAAAGAACAGACCGATGCTTCAGATGTGGTTGAGTTTATGTACGTGGCAATAGCCTCGCGAAAACCTGCTGGAAACAAGTGGCCAGGAGCGAACCTTTATCTCGACGAGAGAACGAGAGACAGATATAGGGAGAGAGAGACAGAGAAAGAGCGAGCACATACATTTTCGGAATATTGTCAGAACCACCTCGTCCCTTTGTCAAAACAAGGGTCAAAAGGGAAGAAGCCGTCCTGCATGAATGCCTCGTGCTGCTGCATGTGACCTCTTGACCGGCTGGAGGATAAGAGAGTTTCAGAACCTAGGAATGAATAAAGACCCTAGATTGTAGGATGCTCATTTTGAGGACCCAATTTCTTTTTCGAAAAAGGTATCTCCCCTAACCAAAGAAACACTCGTTCCAAGCCGAGTCCTAAAACCCTAAACCCCAAATCCTGAAAGTCCAAGCCCCCAATCGCCAACACGCCGCATCCGAAAGCATCCCCGCATCACAAACCCACAAGCGAATCTCAGCTCTTGAACTTTGACTGTTCGGGTACGATTTGTATTTGAGGGTTGAGTGACAGATGACAAGATGCATGCAAAGAGCTCAAGGAACTCAAGGGACGTGCTGTGAAAAAGTTGAGGTGGATGCAAGTTTCGATATAAGGCAGTAAGGAGCCCGTTCTCGATCAATCAAGAACTTGAACATAGTACTTTGGCGGGCTAGGGGGAGGCTGACAGAAGTTGCTGCTGAGCAGTCTCAGAAACTGACCTGAGTTCCATCACGAAGACACATCGCATTTTTTCTCCCACAATTCCTTAAGCCCCAGACCCCAGAACCCCTAAACCCTACGTACCCAGGAGACAGACGGGGTGCGCATGAGGTTGTACTTGATGAATCTGGTGGCAGTCTTCGAGTCATGGACCCATCCTCGCAGTTCTGTGGGTGGTTTGTTTATGGGTGTAGGGCTAGGGTCTAGGGTTTAGGGTTTAAGGTTTAGGGTTTAGGGGTTTAGGGTTTAGAGGTTTTTTGGGTCCAGAACCTACGAGGCCGAAACGAACCCTGGAGGGCTCAAGGTTAAGAGCGCTTTCGACGGAACTTCACGACGTGTCCACAAGTCAGGTTCAGCTTACACATGTGCGGTGCCAGACCCTTGAACCCTAAATCCATTTTCGGAGCTAGCAAGTAGGGCTGAAGGTTCAGAACCCTAAACCCTAAACCCTAAGTTTAGGGATTAGAAGCTGCAAGCTGCAAGGCGCCGGAAACAAAGGTCCTACCAGTGAACCTCTTTTCGTGCTCAACTTCTGAGATTATGTTTTACCAACCCCACCTCCCGAGCCTAAGACGTGGCACGACTGGAGACACCCTCATTCTCAGCAAAAGCTTTCTGACATGAAGCAAAAACCAAAAGCTTCCAACTACGGCTCCCAGCCACAAGCCCCAGAGCCACACTACCCCCTTATTTACACCCGAAACGCCACACATGTAAGCGCGATCTCAACTATGGATCCGCGCCATAATCCCTCTCCCCTCAAGCAGCTCGCGGGACCTCTGTTAGACCAGAAAACCCATGAACCCCAAAACCGTAAACCCAAATTTCATCGCCAAGCCCCAAACACTACCAACTCAAAGCCGCCCATGGCCCCAATATGTTTCTACCACAATGCAACATCCAACGATTGAGGCCCCCGGATATAAAGCATGATCAAACCCTGTAGAACCCTATGAAGCCCTCCTCTAACGACCTCTTTGCTACTCAAAACTACCTCTTTGTTAGGTTCGGCCCGAAGCATCCCTAAACCCTAAACCCCAAAACCTAAACCTAAATCTAAACCCTAAACCCTAAACCCTAAACCCTAAATCCTAAACCGGACGAGTCTCGGCTAAGCGGGGTGACGAACTCCTCGGCCTCAACTGTGCCAGATCCATCGGCATCGATCCTGGGGTCTTTCTTTAGGGGTTTATAAGGCTTAGGTTTAGGGTT